GCACACAACGTCGCCGATAGAAATGGCATTAAATAACGTTTAATACAGATCGATCGCTAATTATCGCGATACAACCACGTAATGACGCCAGCATTACTTTTTCCTCCTAGCGCACAGGAACGTGCTCGGATCTGGTTTTAAAGTGGACATGATGTCACTCGGTATTTACGCTCGCGAAACCGCTGCTTAATAGCAAAGCCAACGAAGGACAATAGACATGGGGCATTAAGCCGAGCGTATCCACGTGGATTGTTCCTCTGTCGGATATTATGCAATCTCTTACAGCAAGATCGACGAAAGGACTTTTCGACTTACGTCAAGCTTCTGACGCATCGCAGTCAATCTTTTCGCTTCACCTAAAAACAAACCATCGATACTAAACAAATAATCAATAATAAACCTTACAAAACATTGTAAATAAACTAGTGGCATAATTTTATAAGTAGCATAAATTTTACAGCACTTGTAGCACGCAATCAACTATATAAGCGTCTCAGCTATCTCTCACTAAACAGGGAGAACGCAAGTTCTGCTCCTTCGGAAATCTCATGTTTACCGAGGATTCCGTTCAATCAACGATCGATTACAGCAACGATCGCACTGTAAGCACGTAAAAACGGCGTTTCCGCGGAAGTGTCGATGGATGGGTCGACGCACTTGCATGTCGGATGCGACCGCGTGCATCCGCGCGCGACCGGGGAGAAGGCAGACGCGGTGATTTCAGCACGCGCCCGGGAATCGTGCCGGCTATAATAATTACGATAAAAATTGCGGGTATACGCCGTGATCGATGCCGGCGTTTATCACGCGAAACCACATCACGCGTGCGCGGGCCGAGCGCGTGATCGTGCGTGTGCGACCTTTCCTTTTTTCTTATTCTCTCTTCTCCGGGACGACGGTGCGTGAGCTTGATCCATACAAGGCAATGAACAAGGCAGAACCGGCTACCCCGTCGTCGTCGTCGCTGATCACACCTTCTCTCGCTTGGTCCCGATCGCACGGACGATCGTGCAGTCGCGAGGATAATGCAATATCAAACGTCGGTGTCGGCGCGCTGAATGCAACGGCGCTTGACCCGATCGTGATGTAACTTCTATTCTTGAGTACAATAGGTTGACAGCACGAAGGAGCTCGGTAGAATATACTGTCGCGTTGTCAATATACATGAAAGAAATAGTTTTGTTGCGGTATCTAAAAATTTGGCAGATGCAGATTCGAAAAATAATTTCGTGGAAGAATAATCAATACATAGAAAGAATTCTTTATGTATTGATTATTCTCGATTTTTATTAAATATAACTGCACGCCATTGTTCTCACTAGATTATTATTAACTCTTCTCTCTAATTTTATATTTACCTTAATTTCAGAAGTCTATATTTACATTCATTAATTTGATAAAATAATATATCGTATACATAAATACAATGTACTTATAAGTGTCATGAAAAAAACATTACAAAAACATTTTTTTGCGCCAAGTCGATTTATACGCAAGATATTACGGTACGGGCAGAATGATGATGCGATTAATTATATTACGCGAACGGAAGCCCGAGACGATTAGCGTGGTGGTTATGTACACAGAATACGTTGCTTGTTCATTAATTAAGCCTACCAGATTGCCACGGGCGTGTACATATTCGTGAGTCACTTATCGACTTTCTTCTACAACAGGTTAGAGTAGGAAAGGGCGACTACTGCATGAGGGTGGACTGGGCCATACCAAAATTAATCATTTACATCGTGCTCTTTTACAGGTGTTCTATCGTTCTGAGAGTTAAGGCGATATTCGATCTTATTTTCCAAATGACTTGTTTTAATTTGGGTTAAAAGCTCGTGATAATTTGCAATTTTCATCACTATTTTACTATTTTATTATCTTTAAGTGTTCGCAAATAAAGTTTTATTACAAAGATAATTTTAAGTCAAATTTAAAGTTTTTATGTATAATTTTATTTCGCGTCTCTACATTTGTCTACTTGCTATTACCGTACATGTCTATTTTCTATCTGCAACGTGCGTGTTCTACCAGAATGATTAGGAAGAATGTACAGTTGACTCACCGTTTTTAATGAATGAACCATTAATGTCCATCTAAATATATAGGTAAATCTATGCGTAGGAGTTGAATGGCGTACCAAAATTTTTTACAACGTCAAGATTGTCACGTAAATCTACGTAACGAAGTTTTTTAAAAGCTATTACAAAGTGTAATAAATGAAAATAAGAGTGTCATAAAAAAGTATATTAAAACTAAAAATGATCAAAAATTTGAGTAAAAAAATTTGTAAAAGAAAGCGAATCAATACCAGGATATCTTTCTCTCTTTCTTTGTCGGATTTTAGTTTTTAGTTACTTTCTCATATTCATATCAAGTAATATAGGTCATGGAATCCAGAGTGAGTTGTGGACAATAGCTTTTTTTTCCTAGCACCGCTATTCACGAACGGTATTTATGGCGTATATGGGATATAAGTGCTCATCATCACATGTAAAACTTCTTAACAGGATCTGTATCCAAGGTGTTTTCGAGGGGGCGTTACATATGGCGCGCCAACGCATCTTACGTGGAACCAAGACAGAAGATCGCCGTTAAGGCAATGTAATGTCACACGGACGTAATCGTGAACGAATACAGTACTGCTTCGCCGAGAACTCGCATCTCGCAAAGATTCTTCGAGAAACGCTTTTAACTGTAAACTTCTTGTACCGCCGACACCGCCAAAAAAGAAAAGGCAAGAGTATTATAGATGTAACGCTATTCTGAGGACAAAAATATCTCAAATTTCTCAACAACAATTCATCTCACATTCAATTTATATATATATTAAAGTGAAGTAAAAATATTTTAATATCACGCTAATAGAAATTTACCACGCTAATAATTAGAGATTTCCGACTTTGCTTAATCATATATATATATAGTGACAGAATTTTAAAAATTTAAAGATATGATATTGAGATTCCAGAACTAAACAGATTTCGCAAAGTGGCTGTTATAAATTTTCTCGGCAGAATGCCAGCGAAGTATAACAAAATTTGTTAGCAAAATACGACGACAGAATTAACTCTAGCCATTTAAATGGCATATTCCACTTTTATATATTTAAATTATGTCGACAGGCTCCACTGACAGATTACAAACCTTAATGCAAATTGACGTCAATTTGCTGTACATTCGGTTCGAATATATTAGCAAACTACTGACACACTGCCTTAACATTTTCCTTAGTGAGTAATCAAACTTTTCCTTAGGGATTAATCAAATTAACCCTTAATGAGTGTTGCTTGTTTCGAAGAAGACTGACATTACCGGCAATTAGACGTCCGTCTGCGCGGAGTGCGCTCGCATCAATTCGCATCTGCAATCGTGCAGCTCGCCGCCACCAGCAGCCACGCCTGCGAATCGATAAGCTGCAGCAAACGCCCGTATCTCGTGCCAGATGCACGCCCGGAAATCGTGTAACGGAGTAACGAAAATATACGTGTATCGAGCAGGCATTTCTCTCTCGTCTTTCGCACCGAGACGAAATTATCTCTCGTATCGACGTATCTTTCGTATCAATGATTCTTGCGTTGCAGCCGATCGAATCTACATTCTGCATATCAAAAGAATATTCTTGCAAACCTGGGTTTGCCCATAGGTGTATCCTGAATTATTTTTCGGGAAAGGTTTTTATCAATTCACATAAACAGCAATTTTTTCAATGAATTTGAATATTTTACAATATAGAATATCTTCTCGTTCCTGATTTTGAATGACAAAATATTAGGTTTTATAAGTCATAATTTTAATTTTAATTTTTCTTTTTTAATTTCAAGGAAAATTTGAATCCCCTAAATCCCCCCGGCCTGAATACGCCCATGTTCACCCGCACTGACCTTCGTCAGGACCGATGCCCTTTCGCATATTTAGGGCGATTATTTGAGGCTCCGGGATTTTCAAATTAACGATCGAAATGGATTATTAATTCGATGTTGCGAGACTGTACGCGAATCACATTGTTGCAATTTTAGGAATTTCGTAAGCCGGCATATCGCAGATTACGTAATCATGATATTTGATGATAAATTGACCCGTTGTAAATTTTGCAAGTATAAAATGATAAATTCTAAAATTATAAATTTTTTAAGTTGTACTTTCATGTAATTTGTATAATATTATTATTCCTCTTTTAATTTGTATAATATTATTATTTCTCTATCTCTTTGATGTCGTTAAATTGTTTTCTTCTACCAAAATTATAATTTTTAATCTATATTCTATTTTTTACGTAATAAAATAAAATAATCATTTAAATATCATATTATATGAACATTCAATTGAATAATATTGTGAAAACTATGGTATGAGAACTATATACTACACTATATGCTATACAAGTAATCTGAGATTTTTGAGTGATTGAACATTTACAAATTTGCTGTATATAGAAAGTTTAAAAAGTGAATGAGATAAACAAAGAGCTCTATTGTAATTTCAGAAAATTTCGATCAATTATTTACTAATTAAAGAAATATTAACTGTTAAAGAACATAATAAAATTTTCTATCAATTATCATGAACGACTTATACGATTCATTAATAAAAAGACATTTCTATTACTATGGAACAATACAAAAAAGTTAAAATGGAAGTACGGCTTCAGGGATTGTTTCAACGGAAGTGACATGCTCGCCAATAAATCGAATTAGAATATTTATTGCAACTAACCATTGATCGAAAAATCATATTAGGCTCCTGATTTAAGAGTTCAAACGGCATTAGAAATGGAGTTCGGCGTAACAGGGATACGGGTCGGTCCTTCCTTAAAATTCGCATCTCTCGACAGCATGCTGCGTCCGCGGAAGAATCGATGCGGCAGCGCCGCGCGGTTGGCAACGCTGCGTCCGCGACGCTGCCCGGCGTATCGTGTCGGCGAGGCCGAGGCGGCTCCGCCAATCAGGTCTTTCCTTTTTGCGCGCCCCCCTTTCTCCGCATCCTACCTCTGTTGCCCCCGTATGCGCTTGAAAATCTGTAACGGACACCGCAACCGTCGCATACTCGTCTCTGGGCTCTCGCACGACGCGTTGGTCTAAACTCGAGTCAGTTCGATAGTAATCGCCGCTAGTCGCCGCCGACTATTAAGATACTAAGAAGCAAAAGTAGTCTCTTTTGAGAGGTCCAGTCGAGAAGAGAAAACTCCGTACGAGCAATCATGAGGGAAATCGTCCACATCCAAGCCGGACAGTGCGGTAACCAAATTGGAGCGAAGGTAGGCTACTTGAAAGAACCCGAATATCCGAGAATCGAACCAACTTGACGCTTTTGCGCGCGCGTATCCTTTGTTCGCGACTCACGATCCGAACTAATTCTGAGAATTCCATTTTTTACGACTTGACAGTTTTTTTTTTCTTTTCATGGGCATGCTCGGGATATCGCGGATCGTTCGACGTGTCGACGGTGAGGGACGCGATGGTCGCGAAGGCGGTCTAGCTCGTCGGGGTCTACGGTCGTCACCGCGCCATTTTTCCTCGCCGCTCGATATCACGCCTGAGAGGAAAATCGCTGATAGGAACGAGAATGCGCCTAGATTTCCTCACGGCTCGCCTGTCGTTGGTATGCGAGGAAACGGCAGCCTCGCCCGCGGTCGAAGACCTGTCATGGCGACAGGAACTCGCCGGCCGGCCGGCACAGCCTAACGGGTTTTTTTTCCCCTCTCGATCGTTCTTGCTCCCGCATCGTATCGTCACGTTCCCGAATGGTGAACGCGTCGGCCATCTTCTCCGACGTCTCAATCCCGTGTACTTTGTATACGTTGCTGATTGATGAGAAAACGCAGAAAATTGACAAATCGAAGGAGAGGGGAGTAAGGAATTATAAATTCGCGAAAGTCACCGAATTTATCCGTCACTTAGCTGTGATCAAGGCTGGGTGTGGCGATGAGAGAAAGAGAGAGGGGGAGGCGGAGAGGGAGATATCTTCAGTTTACGCGGCGACATCGACCGGCTGCGCGCGCATGTCTCTTTCTTCGTACTTTTTCATTCTGACATTCTCCCCGCTTTTTCGACTCATTGTAATAATTGCGACGATCTGCAAACGTTGCTTCATCCTTCCGCGACTTACTGATGCTTTACTTGCATAACACACAAAATTTGTTTCCAGCAGGAAATAAAAATATTTTAGACTATAGAAAAATATAATATTCTAATCTACATCATTTAACATAGGCTCGATCTTACCGTGACCAAACTAGTCGATTCTCTTTTTTTTTTTGCATATCTTTCTTCATCATTAGCGTTTCCTCTCCATCTCCATTCCGTTCACTCTAGCGTGCGCTAAAGGTGAATACACACCGAACGAATGAATTAATGGATGCCATTTGCAACGAGATGCGTCAGCGTCTTCATCTCGCACAATTTGGATTGTAAATGTGATTACGGCCAAATTTCACTTACTCTCGATATTTTTTTTCGTCTAGTTCACATCAAAATCCACAAAAATTTAAACAATAAGCAAGTTGATTAAAACCAAATTTTAAAATATAATTTTTAAATTGTTTCTGATAATTTTTAACCTGATTACCTAACCTGACTCGTTTACTACTAAAATCTTGTTGCTTATGGATTTTTTTTTTTTAATGTATCATTCAATGTATTTTCGCACTCGCTCGGTGTGCATGCTCCTTAAGGCAGATGGAATTCCTGCGCTGCGTCCGTCAGCCGCGCGGCGTCACGATCGCGCTTAACGACCACGCTAGCATCGGTCGTAAGGCGGGTATATTTTAAAATTTTATGCGACGCCGTTAACGGACGGACGGATGGACGCGTGGCATTGCGTTATCGCGAGTCGACACGTTCGGACGCTCGATTCCTCGTTAATTGTGCGAATCGGCGTCTCCGTTTTCTATTCTACGTGCTCACGCTTCATTCCTTTTTTGCCACCGCGCTTCTCCCATCGATTTATCGATTGCTCCGATATTATTTTTTTGTACATTAGCCACTAAGAAAACGTCGCGTTTACAAAAAGAATACGAAATTTATCGATCGCTGTTAGCGCGAAATTTTGTTCTTTTTACTCGAATGAAAAATTGTCTTTAAACAAGAATAGAAGTCAAGAATAGAAGATGATTTTATTCTAAAGAATAATTATTATGTATTGATTTAAAAACTGATTACGTAAAATCACAATCGCGATTATGAGAATCGATTTTTCTTTTTGTAATAATATTAATCTTATCTGAATAATCGACGATAAAGGATTGCGTGAGAGTTGAGAGATTGAGGAGAAGCTGATCAACGTTCGTTGTCACGGTTCCGTAATTTTTAAGGCTGCTGCACGAAGTCAATGTCCGTTTCTTGAGCTATCTATCGTAATCGATCCGACGTCACGGTAGCACGACAAAGACTATTTTTTATTTTGTTTTTTTTTTTATTTGTTTTTTTTTTTAATATTAATTAGTACTTAGTAATTATAAGAATGTATCAATTAGAAAATATTTTCTAACGAGAAAATATTAGGTGCCATCACGATTAACTCTCCTGATGCACTCTTTTAAATTTTCAATTTATCTTAAACCTGTCCGTGATAAAATTTATTGATAAACGAGTTATCACTCAACATTGATAAGAAATAAATCATCTTTTCTTAATATATATATATATTATTTTTTTTTTTCAAAACGAGATACTATTTTAATTCTTAAAGTTTTTTAAGAGTTCAAGGCAAAATCTGTCGGTGGGAGCATTTAATATTCTATACAAAATGAACTAGAAGATAGTACAATTTTATTAAAACGTACTAAATATTTTCAGAAGCTTGTATTTTCCGAAGGTTTTAGAAAATTAAGGTAAAGAATTTGCGATGCGAGCTACTTTCCACTACATGCAAACTCCTTTAACGATTGTACGAATCACCCATTCAACGATGCCTCCTTCGAGTCCAAGGACATCGAGTCCCGCGTAGCACGGCAACCCGTTCCCAAATAAAGGAAGCCAGCGATATCCTCTCGCCATTTTCCTTCGCATCACCTCGGCCCGTTTCGAACCGTTTCGCTCGTTGCCGACGAGCGACCCTCTCTTTCCTCTGGATATAGCCAGGTGTATCGATCGTGTCGGGTTGCAAGACTGAGTTTCGTCTATTGCTGTGACGATTACTATTTTATGGTTTCAGTTTTTTCTTTTTTTTCTATATTTCAATCTTGAAATCAATTTTACGCAATGGGATAAATATAATTAAATCTATTAATATGTCCTACTCCCTGCAATTGAGTTTATTTGTGAACGATAGCTGTTCTATTAATGCACTATCAATATTTAGAATATGTCCCATAATAACATTTTATATTAATAGAAATTGATTAGCAGCTGTAAAATATAGTTTAATCTTGATATCTTTATATACATGTAGTAATATTTTATTATTAGTATTGGGAGAGAGGGAGGGAGGGAGAGAGAGATCTGGTTTGTTATCAAGAAATGAATTTATCCAAGATTCATCTAGTGGCCAATACGGTCAGTTTACGACCTCATTTACTTTTATATATTCTTATATTCTTTATATTACTTTAATTACAAGAGAATGTTGTAAATTTACATTCAAGCAAGATACTAAATTAACAATTACTGCTGTTATTTCTATTTATGAGCCTAAGCGTTCGCATAAATAACTAAATGAAATATCTTGTTGATCGGATTCGTTTTTTCCAGTTACTTCAGTTTTTATCATTCAGTGTAGTTGTAATATCGTGCCGTTACAACCAACTGCTCTCATGGAATGATGCATTTCATAACGGGAAATGGTAGTCCTAATGTTTCCCATTTATTATTCAAATGATCTTATTATTTTAAAGCGCTTATCGGCAACTTGCGGTATATAATATACGAACTCAAACGATGCTTGGAGTCATTAATGACCAAAGAAGAAATATAATACTCTTCTGATCTAAGCTTCTGGGATGAAAGAGTAGAACCACTTAAAGCGATATTAATCCTCGAAAGAATTTCTCTCTTTATATTTAGCATTTTTCTTTTGATTTAAACTTCTTGAGTAAAAAAATAATGGAATAATTTAAAGCAGTATAATTAAACCTTTGGAAGAATTTTTAAGAGTACTTTAGCATTTTTAAGTTTGAATCATTTTATTGATATGTGATCGCATTCCTGTATAGCCCTTAACGAATTCATCGTTCTCTTCTATGTCTCGCTTATCAACCATAAGTGGCAGTTCATTAAAATCAGTGGGACCACTCGTGGACCAATTGCATCGCGTATCCGCTTGGTGGTTACGCAACATGTAGTGCAGCATCACACGCGCGTGGCGTGTATGCATTTAGACTAACCTTTCGCATGACTTCCGGTCTGACAATGACGGTTTGTCGCCATCGCGACATAAAGATGCATGAGGTCTTAGACGCGAGAAAAAAGGAAAGAGTGACAAATGGACAAACAGATCGCCGCCGAGTGCATAACCGAATGATCGTCGCTTATGCTAATTGCACGGTCGTTTTACAATCATCTCTATATATAGCGGTGACATTGGTGACTCATATCTGGATGTAATATATACATTGCGATCGTAGGCTGGACGAGGAGGAGAAGATAGTAGCGGGGTGGGGACAGATAGGGTTGGGTGATCTTAGGCTTTCGAACGATGATCATATATGGTCACCGCTTAATACACCCATCGTCTCCATGTGGGATGTATGTACCGAACGGTAGGCGGACCTGGCGCTTTTACGGTGACTTTCACGCGAGTTGTACATGGACCTCGAGATTATTTAATAACAACTTCTCGCTGTCAGAAAAATAGTTTGGTTCAATGAAAACTGCGACGCAACGATATATGAAGCCATTTATAGCTTTTACTCACACGATTGACCTTATCTACCGAATACATTTTTAATTAACAACTTATCAAAATAAAAGCTAAGTTAAAATATTTTGTTTTTATATAATAATGGTTAGCTAAATATTTTTTTAGTTAATATAGTTCGTATTTTTTAATGAAATGAGTAATTACAAAGTCCACGGTTAATTAGAATTGTAAATGGCGAATGAAATCATTTTATGATTTATCGTATTTACGAATTTATAATTGGACATACTGAGTTTCGTAATAAAGTGTCTTGATTGTGAAATATCAAGAGTAATTTGTATTTTTACAAGTATTTTATAATTTGATATCTTGATATCTAAAGTACGACATAAAATTCTGCGATATTCCAAATTTTCTATAAAACAGTTAAACTAATGTGATATAATTAGTATAGCCATTCTCTATTTACGCGCTTTTGTACTCATGAATGTACGCGTATCTCTCACGTCGATTTCCAGAAATATACCGCGGGGTCTTTGAACCCTTTGAACGTTCTTGAGGTGAAGTAGAGATGCACCGTGGACCGCACGCGGTGCGCCGACGATTTCGTAATTAACGTTCCCTTTTGTTTGCAAATACGTTGGGAATTGCATCAGACACGCCCAGACCTGTTCTGAATTGCTAATGGAAATCCGTCAAGCCATCTTCTTCGCATTTAGGTCGATCAAAAATTAATTTGCCTTATTATTATTAATTTACACTTGTTTTCGTCAAATTATTTTTCTGTTTTTACACTCTATTGTTCATGAATTATTCGACAAGAAGTTTAGAAGCACGATGTCTATTACATTTCATAAATACATAAACATCTAGTTGAAAATCACGCTTTACCGTTAAATTTAAAGACAAGCGGTTGACATTTCAGTCTAAAACGGCGATTACGATTAATACGGTGAAATAAGCACTTCCGGGGGATTACGTGGCGACGGCTCATTGCTGAAGCGTCGTTGTATTTGTTGTATCACGATGCGCTTCGACGGACCGATTGACGTTTCAAGACAGGAGCGAAACCGCGCTTACGATAATACGGGACTAATTAGTCTCGATTATCGCTCGAGCGATTCGGTTGTACCATCGAAAAGCAGACTTGCTTTGAAAAATGCGAAAGGGAAAAAAAGGAATGTAATTCGATGCGCAGGCCTTGAGATATTACGATTAATTACACGCGAGCTATTCGCCGTGCGCGCGAGGTCGTTGAACGGCAGCTCCGTTTGCGCTACAATGGAAGGCTGGAAAACGGATGCGAGGATAATTGCGGGGAAAGCCGGTGCGCGAAACTTCCTTCCTACGCGCGCATACGCGCGGATGATGCATGATTCAGAACGCGTATCTAATTTTTGTGGCAGCGCCGATTCGTTCCGGCACGGATAGTACTCGCTAAACGGAGGAATACGCGTCGTATTCTTATTTCCCTTGTCGAATATCTCGCGATAAATTACTTTTTACCACTCTTAGTTTGTAACAATATATTGAGACATAAAGTTTTAAATAAAGTTTTTTGTATTAATAGCGATATTCTTATGAGACGATTTTTTTCTGTATTACAGTTTTGGGAAATCATAAGTGACGAGCATGGCATTGACCCGACTGGCACCTACCACGGTGACTCTGATCTCCAGTTGGAGAGAATCAATGTCTACTACAATGAGGCATCCGGCGGCAAATACGTGCCGCGTGCCATCCTCGTCGATCTGGAACCCGGCACCATGGACTCCGTGCGCTCGGGACCGTTCGGCCAGATTTTCAGACCGGACAACTTTGTGTTTGGTCAGAGCGGCGCTGGCAATAACTGGGCGAAAGGCCACTACACCGAGGGCGCCGAACTGGTAGATTCTGTTCTCGATGTTGTGAGAAAGGAGGCTGAGAGCTGTGACTGCTTGCAAGGATTTCAACTTACGCACTCCTTGGGTGGTGGTACTGGCTCCGGCATGGGTACCCTGCTCATCTCCAAGATTCGTGAGGAATATCCCGATAGAATCATGAATACGTATTCCGTCGTACCGTCGCCCAAGGTGTCCGACACAGTCGTCGAGCCGTATAACGCCACCCTCTCCGTACACCAGCTCGTCGAAAATACGGATGAGACCTACTGTATCGACAACGAGGCCCTTTACGATATCTGCTTCCGCACCCTGAAACTATCGACACCGACGTACGGTGATCTAAATCATCTTGTCTCCCTCACGATGTCCGGGGTCACGACTTGTTTGAGGTTCCCTGGCCAACTGAATGCTGATCTCAGGAAACTCGCCGTCAACATGGTGCCCTTCCCTCGTCTCCATTTCTTCATGCCTGGTTTCGCTCCTCTCACATCCCGCGGCAGTCAGCAATACAGAGCGCTGTCCGTACCGGAACTCACCCAACAGATGTTCGATGCTAAGAACATGATGGCAGCGTGTGATCCCAGGCACGGCAGGTATCTCACAGTTGCTGCCATCTTCCGCGGTAGAATGTCGATGAAAGAGGTCGACGAGCAGATGCTCAACATTCAGAACAAGAACAGCTCATACTTCGTCGAATGGATACCGAACAACGTAAAGACCGCCGTATGCGATATTCCGCCACGTGGTCTTAAGATGTCTGCCACGTTCATTGGCAACTCCACCGCCATTCAGGAACTGTTCAAGCGCATCTCCGAGCAGTTCACTGCCATGTTCAGGAGGAAGGCTTTCCTTCACTGGTATACTGGCGAGGGTATGGACGAGATGGAGTTCACTGAAGCCGAATCGAACATGAATGACTTGGTCTCCGAATACCAACAATACCAGGAGGCTACCGCAGACGAGGATGCAGAATTCGACGAGGAGCAAGAAGCCGAGGTCGACGAGAACTAAGAGAAAAAAAATTACCGCGGCGGAAACGACACTCGCCATCCTTTCCCTATTCTCTCTCTCTTTCTCTCTCTTTCTCTCGACCGAGCGATAACGCAATATACCCTTCACCCTTGCTTCTTAACTCGTTATCTCTCTTTTGTATCTTTTTTACGGATTTCTGTTCGAACTTTCGCGGAGCGCGCGCGCGCGCGCGCACTATTCATTGCTCTCCGTTAATACCGCACTTAGTGCGATAATTTGAAGAATATTTTCTTATTTTTGAATGTCTACAAGATTTATTATTTTTGATTACTAATTTACGCGCGCCCTTACCATCATCCAGTGTACAACCGCTGAGAGCGGTCGCCAGCATATTTGAATAAATTATTATCATATGAATCTGTCGTCACTCGCACTACTCCCTGATTATTTACACAGACCTCTAGGCTATAGTGCTATTGATTTTTTGTATTTTCGGAGACTTCGTATATTTATATTTGTCTGTTGTCATACGCAGTTTTATACCATGATAAAATAGATGTGAATAAAAATCCAATAAAATATATGATGAGAGTATTGATTAGATCTTTATCTGATATATAAAAGCTAGGATTTATTTACAAGATAAATAATTTTGTGACAGCAAAAAAAAATTATGAATGAAAGTACACAGTGTTTATAATTAAGTTACAATTAATAAATTGTAAAATTGGCAAATGTGAGATTTAATAATTATGAGATAAACTTGACAATTATTTTCTCAAATGTTTCTACAAGTATATGTAATCTAGCATAAATTTTTTTCTACAGAAAAAAATATGAATATTTAAATTAGCAATGTTAAAAATATATAATCATATTTTTTAAGATTTCGGTCAATTCTTTGGTAAGTAAGTCATCAAATAATACTATTTCATAATGCAGATTATATCACTAATTTTTTATTAATTAGTACATAGAAAGAATAGAGATAAAATTATGCAATTATTTTTATATACTTGTATAGTTTAAAATTTTGCATAGTAATCAATTAAATCAATTTAATTGCCAATGTTAATAATAGTTTGAAAATTACTTTTTCTACGAGATATAAATAAAAAATAAATCTATATCAAACAAATGTAAACCTCTAATTTATATTTTTAAATTAAGTTATATTCAGTCTTCATTTCAGTCTTCATTTTTTCTCAAAAATTCATCAAATTATTGCTTGTAAAAATATACATATTGTAATCTGTGATGTGTTGTAATCTCTTAGCTTGCATCTTCGATTTGATAAACCCAAATTACTGCGGGTTAGTCATAAAAATTATAAAATTCACTTAATTTATTTATACGCTAGCTACATCTGTAGATTTAGCAATAACACGCTTCAAATGTACTTTTTAATTTTAATAATCTTATCAAACTTTGATAACTGCATGCATAATTATCGATAATAGTAAAAATTGGTTGCGATTTTATTGACAGATAATCATGTTTTCAAAAGATTTCTTAAAGATGTCTCTTATATAAGAGAATATAAAATATTGTTTTAAAATTACAAGTTAACTATTTTTGCTACAACTATAAACCATCAAAAACGTCTAAAAATTTCTTAAAAAAATTTTTACAAATTATCTTTTTTACGGCCATAATTTCAAAGTCATAATTTATATTTATTTGTTGTCTTCAGCTGTGAAAAAGTTAATATTCTGTAAAAAAAATTTTTTTTATATGTCGAATACTAGTTAAATAATTTGAAAATATTTAATTTAAATTATGCAAATGAATATCAAATCTTTTTATATTTCAAAACTTTATATAAAATTATATGAACTCATTACTATAAAATATCAACTTCAATTATCTTCACTTTAATTCACATTAATATATAATATCAACTTCATATGAACTATAACATATAAATGAACTATGTTAATATAAAAACTTTCTTTGATTTATTCATGTCGACTAAACTGTAGAATTTTCATAATAAATAAATATTATTAACTAACGACTCTTCGTGTCACAACAAGTAATATTTCAATTTTTATTCGTTTTTAATATGAAGCTTAATATCCTCTTGTTTTCTTCATTTTTATACATACTTTAATTAAGTAAAAAAAATTTTATAAAAATCCAATCCAATAACTTTAAAAACGCTTAGTAATTGTTTAGATCTACACTATACATTAATCTTACGAAGCAATAATTTTATTTACTGTCTCATGTTTGTGCACATTGTCCATTAGCTGGGAATAGCTAATAATAGTTAATGATAATTACTTATTAAATCTTTATTGTGTGTGTTACAGTAGACACAGAGTTCAGTAAATTCTCGCGTAAGGTAATTGCGCCACTTTAGCGACCGCGAAGAATTCTAATAGCTCTTGCCTTGGAGAACGCAAGAGAAGAGAACGAACGTTTCACCATGCTTTGCATCCATGCTGTGGTAACGCGGCGCATTTGCGAAGGAATGTCGAGCGCATCGTTCTGGCTAGCGAACTAACGGATTAATATGGATACAGTTAAAGCGACGGAATCAGTGCGTTTCGGCTTCGCGAGATCGATATACGTACTTCGAACACGATAAACGTACGACGAACCAAAAACACATTGTTGCATTTTCGTTCGGCCGGATTGCAGAAGAAACTCGAGCCAGCGCGTGGAAATAACCGCGACCGCGTTGCGACCCTGCGTTTCCGGTTGCAGAGCGAGTGTCTCCTTTGTCCCTATCGAGATTATTGCCTTATCTCGTTCCCCTAATTTCGTGCAATTGCCCACCGCCTTCGTGGTCCGCCATTCTTCCCACGATCTTCGGTAATTCTCCCTACGTTAATTCTGTTATTTTACGATCAGTTCTCGTTTTATTGATTACTCCATGATTTTTCGCTCGCAGCAACGTTCGAAGCGGAGCTTAAAATTTATATAATAATATAACACGAAAAATTGTCGAATTCGATTCTGGTCGTTCGCCTTTGATAAAAACGCAGACATCGACCTTAATAAAGACGACATGACTCATCGCATGTCTCGCTGTATGTCGACCGTCTCATCTTACGAATTCGATCCATCGTCAGGCGCCACACGTAATGACAAAGTACACGTCGTACGTGCCTAGCTCATTAAGAAATAAAAGATAAGCATCACTTCCTGTGCCACTTCTCCTATACCAAATACTGACTCTTGCGTAGCTTTCTTTCAAAAGTTAATTCAATTTCGTTGAAGATTTCTTCTTACAGAGATTGTTCTAATTAGAGACAAAAATCAGAAAAATATAGTTTTAATGTTAACACCCAGACTTTGAATACTTTAATTTTAATATTAAGAAAAAGAAAATGTTACAAATGGAAAGGTAAAAAAACCGGGGATTAAAATTTAAACATAAAATAAACAAACAATGGACAAATCAAGATTATTGTGAATTTAATTTTGTAGCATTGAATAATTTGATTCATAATCTATTGTTTGCATATTTTATTTCTATGTAATTCATTTGCGCACGTCGGTGCAAAAAAAAAAAGAATCGATCGCAAATTTCGTTTGATAAAAGCTGCTTGCTAATCTTTCTTGAATATTGTGCGATCATGCGAGTGACCGCGTACGTCGTGTCGACGAAGTGGATGTTAACGGGAGGTGAGGAGGTGTGGAGAGATGTTACAATAATAGACGGACGCTTCTTACCACGACGGGGAACCATGAAGAAGCTCGGCACGCAGCTGGAGACGGAAACGCGACGATCAACGTCTCGATTATCATCGCTCTTCGACGGTGGAAAACGGCGAGTGTCGCTTTAAAAAATGACTCAGAGATAAAGAGAGCTCGCAGCATCTTGTTCTGTCCGTGTGCTTTTGGAATCTTTTTAAGAGCGACATCCTGCTTTAAGAATTTGCGGTATGCGACCATATGGATGCGTTCCGCATATTACAACCAATTGTGCATTGTAACTTGAGACGATTAACTATTGTGGTTAGGCGTAAAAGCCTAATGTTAATGGAAGTATATCAAGTATTATTTACTAATTTCCATTCACATTTTATTAATTGTTATAAAAAGTAGGATGAAAGAGAGAAAGATTTGATTACACAATGTAGAAGAAATTTTAAATATTAAACAATTGCAATTGTTATATATTAATTTTTAGAATTGTATGTAAAATATATGTAATTATCTGAAGGACTGACAAAGCAATTAAACCGCAAAATTGATATAATAAAAGATACGTTCTCATATTTCACTTATTATCCTGACTTTGCATGCGTTGATTGTAATTATAGACATTAGCAGCACGCATTGTATTGCCCCAGAATTCATATGACCGAAACACTTCCGTTAAACGTGATATCTTTGCTTGCATTCAACCAAGAGGAAGTACTTTCCAAAAAAAAAAAAGGAGTTCTATCTCCTGTTACAGTTCCGATGAATGAGCTTCAAGGTAATTCGATATAAAAAATAATCGTATCATTCGTAATGTATCGAACGATTTTTACTTTACGCCAACTGTGGATATTAATTAGTCTATACCTTTCGGAAATTAATTTACAGCGACAATTAATTTGTCATATGAAAACCTAGTTTCGCAGTTCAAAAGCGCAAAAAAAAAGCTGCTGATAAAAAAATGACTACTCGCTTTAATGATCAGAGAAACAATCGTGCAACGCGTGCAGCGAGAAGAGACAAACCGAGCGGAAGCGTACACGAGGGATGCAGATTTGTACATCCCCCCCTCCCCCCTCTTCGAAAAGGGGAGCATTGCTCGCACGCATGTAACCCCGAGAACTAGCGAGAAACCAACTCCGTTTTTTCCTCCCCGTTACTCTCGCGCCGCTTATCACCCGCGACGCTTGTCCGTTCTCCTTCGCCCTCTTTCTCTCTCCTCCCCTTTCCCTCTTCGTCGCGACGACGGATTCCTCCCCGCTTCTCTCCCGACTCTAATCCCGATCGACGTCGAGCACAAGTAGCTTCGCCTCGGGAGAGTGGAGCTCAGGACGCCGACACGGGCGCGTTTCCCTCGTCACGAGCACCGCTCGTCGTTCATTCTCAGGCTCGACTCGCGACGGTCGGCTGCACTCCTCGACTCGGTTACAATCAGCCGCACACGCACCCGCACTCCATTCCGACGCGTCGAGCGCGCACGCACGGATCGACCCACGACGTCGAAGCAGGACGAGTAGATAGAATCAGATAGGACCAGGAGAAGAGATCAGCTGTTCCCTCTCGTCGCTCGTCGTCTATCCGCGCCGAAAGAAAAGCAGAATGAGGGAGATCGTGCACCTGCAGGCTGGACAATGCGGTAACCAGATCGGCGCAAAGGTAGGTCGACGACCGAAGATTATTTTTCTTTTCACGCTTCGTGATCTTCAAGCGTGAAGGACAAATTTTACATGGAACGGAATTTTTGGCATTTTAATTAGGCAAATTAGATAAATTTAGAATTAATTTGCCCTTAAGGAAAATTTGTGAAGAAATTGCCATTGGCGGAGAAATTCTTTTACCTTATTTTCTTTTATTCATCTAATTTTAGATTATTTAAATAGTCTTTAGATTATTTAAATATTAAACATTACCTGGATACGTTTTAGCTGTGAAAACTCTAACAAATTTAAAGTGTTAATTTTATCTATTTTTATCCTCTTTGATAAAAGGAAGTGTTTTAGAGATAAAAATAGATTTCAATGTAGAAATCAAAATAGAATATTGTGAACATCGATATTGAATTGTTCTAATATAAGAATTTTGTAATTCAGAAATTGACGAGGTAATTCTAGATACGAGATAAGAGACTTCATGATAATTAAATTCAATGTAAAAAAGTGCGGACAGCTAATAGCTTTAGTTTATTAAAGCACGAATGGTTTATTCGGACAATATATATATATGTATATATATATATATATATATATATATATATATATATTCAACAAGGCGTGTTTGCAGCGTTGTAAAAGCGTTGATAGAAGAAGAATAATTTATAATTTATTTGTTGAAGATAGTGTCCGGAAATTAATTGTAAATCTCATTTACGTCGCACCGAGACGACAGACGACTAACAATTAAAGCGCAAACAAATCAAGTATTATGACTCATCGTCTTCGTGGTATCGATCGGAGTTCGCTCGAAGCACTCTTGTGGTTTCCGGAAAAGCTGAGTCCTCTTAAAGCTTTCAGACTCTCCTGTCATCCTCTTATATTCAAATCAGCGTAAAACCGGAAACTACCCGTCAATTTTTTATCGCTTCAACTTTCAAGGAAAATTACCTTATCTAAACTAAATATACATCTTTTTGTCTATATTTTAATAATTACATGCATAAAAATTATAATTTTTATAACAGAGAGTTCTTGTTATAATTTTTATAATAAGAATTGGAAGCAGAAAGCAGAAATATCATTCCAGATTACCTAATAATTACTTTTTGATTTTGCTTTTCATCTTTCTAAATAGAACCAATAAACTCGGTGGAGTAATAACTCGCGGAGTAACATGAACGTTATATCGCACCATAAAAAAAGCAATCTTTCTTAATGGTATCGTTCGACCAACGGCTGTAATCGAATTGAAGATAAGGCGGACAAATGGAATTTAAAGAGCAACGCTCGACATCGGGGACCCTTTTCGTGCGACCGAAGTGCTTGAAGTGATCCAAGTTTTAATCTCGCCGGCATACGCGGGAGACGATGGCAGGAAATGCCGATCGTACATATGCTTGGAATACGCTTAAAGTCCTATAATAACGTCCACATTGTTTGATGGTCCGAAAAGTAGATACGAAAATATACATCTCAAAATCAAATAAATCATTTACGTCATCAAATAAAAAGCTACTTAGAATATGATCACAAACAACTCCTGTCAAAATAAATCACTGCAAAATCGCAATTGATGCGCTGCTGCAATTAAATATCGCTGTTAATTGGTTTTAGTACCGGTTAATTTCGAACAAGATATGTTATTGGACGCGTAATGCGAGACTGATATTATCGCGAAGCATTTCAAGTTCGTTATCTTATTTATCTTGTTTGTAAATGTGACAATATGTACTCGCGATATATTCAATTACTTTTATTTGTAAACATAAAGGAATTACATTTTTTTGTAAATCAGGCGCGTACTTTATAATTCTAATAATTGACTATATATTACTATTGTTTCCATCTTGCTTTCTATTGTTAATTATTTTAAAACATCCTTTATTCATCATTGCACAATTTTTACTTTAATAAATATTATTAATATAATATTATAATATAATATTTTATTAATAATATTATTATATAATTATATAATTAATATAATATTTTACAAGCAATTTAAATTACGAATTATGATATAAAAATAATAAATCAAATATGTACTGAAAAGTATTGAAAAGTACATTCAAGTTTACTTAATAAGGTAATCTTTCCGTGTACTTTATCAAGGTTTATGTTTGACAAATAATGCCTTATCAAATTTTCACATAACTTTCTAATGAGTTAAGATTTTTCTTGGTATTTTATACAGTATTGCTCATCAAGTTATGACGCACATCAGATTGTAAACCGTAAAGTGGAGCACCCAATGAGTCAGAAAATTTTTTTGCTATCGCTATACTATGCTATTGCATAGTAAAGACCAAATTTTACTTTCAAAATGTTATAATTAATTGTTACACTAAATGCGTTACAAAACGCATGTTTATTTATTAATTAATTAAAGAATTAAAATATTGTATAAATATTAATAAATTAAACATGGTCTTCAATCTCTATTATATAAATTTTTTCGTTATTGCAAATTTAAAAATAAATTATTAATGAAAAAAACACAGAAAAATCTCTTATTCAAGCGAATCAATCTGTTGATCTTATTGATTCAATTTTCACAATTGTTAGATGCATCATTTTCGTTGATTTCGAAAGTGAAGCGCTTGAGCGACCATCTTCCTCGAAAAGGATTGTCTCTTCACTTTATTGCAGATCTATCATCATTTCCGCGGCGTTGTTTTCCGCTCGAAAGAATTTAACGATTTAAGAAGATAAAAACTAAGTTCCTGTAGGATGAGAGGCAATTATAGTCGACACGATTGTGATCTAGACGATGTTTCTCGAGCAATCAAAACACCCATCCATCGGAAATCCACGCTAATTTTGCGAAAAAATGATCTGTGAATCAGTCAAGCATAATATAATAATTATCATGATTCCGATCCCGTACAATATTTTTAAGATTTTATTAAGTCTTGCTTCTTTTAGTACGCGATTACAGCTGTATATGTGAGTAGCAATATATAATAATTTCTAATAAAATATATAACTTTGAAAAGAAACGCTTGATCCTGAGTTTTGCTCCAAATTAAATGTGACTATTTGTGTAATAAGGAAACGTAAGTAGTTTCTTAATCACGTCCGTGTAATGAGATCGAGCATATACGTGATGCACGTAAATGCAGCGAGGATGCGAAGATGCGAAGAATAATCAGGGAGGCCCATTTCGCTCGGGCGGCGGCCATGGCGACCGGCACATCGACTTGCTATTAATAGGAAGAGAAAATAGTAAAGACAAGACAAATGGAGAGAGGAGAAATGTTTAACCGGAGGGTGGACATGAGCCAGGGGCCACAGACCGCGTTTAATTCCGTGCGTTTCTATTTCTGGATGTCGCGCGTGTTATCCTTGTCCTCGCGGCCGGAGTTTGGGGTGCACGCTCGACATCGGAGGGAAGTCGCACGTCGCTTCTCTCGGCACGTCGAGAGTGGTTTTGAGAGTAGGAAAAGTGCAGCAAAATAAACTTAAGACGAGAACTATGTTTAGAGAATATTAAGAAAGTACCCTGGTTTTATTTTTATATTGAACTACTTTGCTGATTACCAGACTATGCCCGGAAATAAATAGGCTGTTTAAACAGTTGGCTTCCAAAGTGTTAATGTTAATGAATCATGTTGCAGTTCTGGGAAGTTATTTCTGAGGAGCATGGCATCGACCAGTCGGGCATTTATCATGGTGACAGCGATCTACAGCTCGAACGAATCTCCGTATATTATAATGAGGCGTCTGGTAAGAGTCTAAATATTATACATCTTCTTCGCTTTTTAAATGTAATAAAATAATTTGTGTGAAATTCAAACTGCTATTTTTTTCTTAATTTATCATCTGTCACGTTAGAGAAATATTTGCTCATACTTGCAACAAACATCTTCAATTAATTAAGTAGCTCTTGAATGATTATTACATCTTGTATCACATCATACGATAATAGAAATCAAATTATTTGCTGCAACTTTGATAGAAAGAAATCCATAGGAACAAGTACAAACTAAAATAGAAAATTAAGATCAATGAAAAAAGTAAAACATTTATAATAACATTTAATTTATAGTGATAGTGCAATTTTATATATAAATATAAAGAAATGAATTGTGTAGAACACAGAATCTTCCTAATAGAGATCGCTTTGGTGAATTCTGTCCTCGAGTCGAAAATAGCAATAACGAGAAAGATAGAAAATCTGCACTGATGGAGAAGAGAAACGCTGGGACACGCATTTTATGCTGAAAATAGCCGTCTTATGTGGTCGAACTTAGATTCTAAGTTACGACTGCAACACATTTCAGAATTTCTCGTGCATTCGCGAAAACGAGATTATTTTCGAGAATGCGACGTGCAGCACATGCTTCATGGTTAAAACAGTTTAATTAGCAAACAAGCGAAATGTATGCACCATTCGTTGTCGAGAATAATTTATTATTAGAAATAAATTTAAGCACATAGGAAGTTCCATTCTTAAATAACTTTTTATATTTTTACTTCTTCTATTTTTATAATTTTTATTTTTGAAGCTGTAATACAAATGCAAAAAATATCTTAGCGATATATAGTATATATTTTTATTAATGGCATTAATTAGGATGTATGTATTTAACTCTAAAAGTAGAATCTTGTATTGTGATACTAATAAGTCGCATAATTCTCGTATTGTTCTGACGATAGCCTCTCATTAGCAAACGGCGCAGACACACGATTTTATCCATGTAGGTACGCATTTCCGTTTACCATTACAGTCGGCATGAGTTTTCGATAGAATGACAATAACGGTCAAGCCAATATGGATATCTTAGTGCCTTGTGTCACGACGACTATTAAATATGTCTGACGTTATATTTTATGTTATTTCACACATTACATACATATAGATACATTTAGCAACGAAAAATCATGTAGATTTTATTATTTTTTTATATCGTAAAATATTGTTTTATTTGAAATATTTTTCTGTTAAATATTTTCAGGCATCTATTGCTATTTTCCAGACTATTTGCATGAGCAAATTTATATTATTCATTCTTATTTTTTTTTTTTTTTTCTCATTTCAGTCGCGACATCCACGAATGGAGGAAAATATGTTCCGCGCGCGATTCTTCTGGATTTGGAGCCGGGAACGATGGACGCTGTTCGTTCCGGCGCTTACGGAAAGCTCTTTAGACCAGACAATTTCGTGTTCGGACAATCCGGTGCGGGTAACAATTGGGCGAAGGGTCACTACACCGAGGGTGCCGAATTGGTCGACTCTGTCCTAGACGTGGTGCGAAAGGAGTGCGAAAATTGTGACTGTCTTCAAGGTTTCCAACTCACCCATTCATTGGGAGGTGGTACTGGATCCGGAATGGGTACTCTACTAATCTCGAAGATCCGCGAAGAGTATCCCGATCGCATTATGAATACTTACTCGGTGATGCCGTCGCCCAAAGTATCCGATACTGTTGTGGAACCCTACAACGCGACCCTGTCTGTGCATCAATTGGTGGAGAACACCGATGAAACTTATTGTATCGATAACGAAGCCCTGTACGACATCTGTTTCCGCACTCTGAAGGTTTCCAATCCGAGTTACGGCGATCTCAATCATCTGGTCTCGCTCACTATGTCCGGAGTAACTACTTGTCTTAGGTGTGCATAAAAATCCGCAAGAGCAATAGACAAATTTATAATAAAAATAAAATACTTCTAATTGTATAACGAAGATAATATTCTATAATGTCTTTATAATGTTTGTTGAAATAGTAATGTGAATTTATTAGTGATATAATCTTTCTAGTCTTGTAAACATGTGTATGAATAACGTAGATGATTGATTTCTTCAGGTTTCCCGGTCAGCTGAACGCCGATCTCCGAAAACTCGCAGTGAACATGGTACCTTTCCCACGTCTGCACTTCTTCATGCCGGGTTTTGCGCCACTGACATCCAGGTCCATGCAACAATACTCCGCGCTCTCGGTGCCAGAACTCACCCAACAGATGTTCGACGCGAAAAACATGATGGCGGCCTGCGACCCGCGCCACGGCCGATATCTTACCGTGGCGGCCGTCTTCCGCGGCAGGATGTCGATGAAGGAGGTGGACGAGCAGATGCTCAGTGTGCAGAACAAGAACAGCTCGTATTTCGTCGAGTGGATTCCGAACAACGTGAAGACCGCCGTGTGCGATATCCCACCGAAGGGTCTAAAAATGTCGTCGACCTTCATCGGCAACACCACCGCTATACAGGAACTGTTCAAGAGAATCTCTGAACAATTCACGGCGATGTTCAGGAGAAAGGCTTTCCTCCATTGGTACACCGGCGAGGGAATGGACGAGATGGAGTTCACCGAGGCTGAATCTAATATGAATGATTTAGTATCCGAATATCAACAATATCAGGAGGCCACGGCAGAGGAGGATTTCGAGGCAGAGGAATGCGCTGATGATTTTGAAACCTGCGAACAGGAAAATTAAAAACAACGTGACTCTGTTCATTTTTAGCTTCTCTGTCTGTGTCCCATCATAGGAGCTCGCATGATTGATATGCTCGCGAGAAGCTGTCTTTTGATACTTTTATATACAATGCGTTTTGTAATTGCTGAAACGAATGTAATATAGGCGGATGAGATTACTTTTTTATTAATCGTGTGACATCGAAATATTTATAATAATTATGAATCATGAAGATGAATATTCGAAAGCAAATGAACTAATTGTGGCGAATGTTAAATTAATGCAAAAAATGTATTATAGTTTCTTTGATTTTGCGTTACGTTGATACGCCTATGTTATATTCAGCTTTACTAGTAATAATCATAAAAATATTGAAATGTCGCTTGAAAAAATGTGACACGGATTGGATTGCAATAAAAGTCGTTAAATAATCAAGTTTTTGTTTTATTTATTGTTGCAATCTTGTCCGGGCGCGCAAGTCAAAAAAAGAAGTTTCATTCGATAGCTCCAAATCCTCACGCTCCGATGTAGTCGAGTCTCCTACAGAATTTCGGATATCTCTGTCGTCTTGTCGATGTCTCGTCACAAACTCACTGCGCGGTTCGCGTAAAAGTCAAAATAATCTCTCTCAAAAGGATAGCACCTCTGTTTTCGTTAGCTGTATTAATATAATTGACCGGTACGCAACATTCCGCCCACCTTGCAAAATCTTAATTTTTCAACACCTTTATCACGCCGAAAACATATATATAGTTTTGACTCATAGCGCTATAATCGTGATTTCACAGTCTATATTTTTCGATCTATTTATGATTCGGACATTGGAAGAATACAAATCCTTGTTAACGCTCGCTGTACGATACCATTCTTAGTTTTAACACTAACGATTCGGACATATCCCTGCCGATCCGGATGCACGTCGACGATGCGTCCTAACTTCCATTTAAGAGGGATATTATTTTCTTTCAGAATCATATCGCCAAGTTTTATCTTTTTACGATCCAGGGCCACGCTCCTCCATTTTGACCTCGATTGCAATTGTGATATTCCTGTTTCCAACGAGACCAGAAATGTTGTCGCAATTTGATCAACAACTGATAACGATTCAGCTTGTTAGTCGGTTCTTCCGGTCAGATCTATCTGCTGTATCGCGTTGAGCAGTGCGCCGATTAAAAAATGTCCGGGGGTTAACGCGGCGAGATTTCACTTGACATGGGCGTCAAGGGCCTTGAATTTAGATACGTTTCTATTTTAGATACGTACGAATTTAGATACGTTTCTTCCATTAAAAGCTCTTCGAATGTCAGGAGCATGTCCCCCCAATACCTTTCTTAAACGTCTTCGCCAATTTTATGCCCGCTTCCCATAATCCCCCCATATGAAGAGCATAGGATAAAAAATGCCACTATTGATTGTTCTACCATGAACGCGTCCACCTCTCGCTGATGATTTTGATTTTGCAGCAATTCTCTCAACTTTCGTAGCTCGTTACACTCTCCTACAAAATTCATGCCGTTATCTGAATAAATATTTACATATTTTCCTCGTCTTGCAATAAAACGCCTCAAAGAATTAAGAAATGTTGCCGAACTTAAATCGCTAACCAATTCTAAATAAACAGCTCGCGTCGCGAAACATAAATAAACACAAATATGCTTTTCCTGTCTTATTTCGTGAAATTTTGATATTGAATAGTCCGTCGTAATCGACATTAACATTTAGAAATGCTCAACTCGGAGTCACCTCAATCCTTCGATAAGCCGCTCATTATTTCTCGCGGACTCTTACCGTTAAACCTATAACAAACTAAATATCTACACAAAACTCCCCATACCGAAGTGTATTTATTTATAATACTTGTATTTATATGAACAATATATAAAATATTAAGTTTTTCTTAAAATAAACAAAGTAAAGCAGTGTAATTATATTAAACTTAAAATTTTCCTTGAAGATCCTTTATCCTTTATATATG